CTCTACCCGCATTTCTTGAATCCATCGTTCAAGAAAAGTTGCGCGAGTGATACCTGTGTTCTAAAATGTCAATTTATATACAATATTTTGTTAGGAAACAAATTCAGAGAAAGAATACAAAGAACAAACAGGCTTTCCTATCACAGTGTCGATAAGAAGGGGGAATTATATTATTGTTCTCTTAAGATGTTTAAAACGATTGATCAACGTTCCAAGATGTTTATGGGCACTATATACGTACATAGTGAAACAATTGATTGCGTGGATCTCCAAATTATATGTTAGAGAAAGCATTCATTGCCAGAATGCGTTTTCGGAGTTAAATATATTTAATAGAATTGAATAATAATTTAGACGTTTTTATCAAATTATTTCTGTATACTTGCAATACAGTATTTTCTTACCTATGCGGTCTTTGAGAGAACAGTACATAGATTGTCCAGAAATTATTCATTCAGTTCCAGTACTCGCAATTCAAAAGACAATACTCTCTACACTCATTAGTAAACGCATGATTAAGTACAGGTAGGTGAGCATTGGGTCTAAACGTTCATTTGAAAGTCTACAGTCGCCCGCCTTGGCAATGAATAATTTACGGTTCCCACTGCAGTGGATAATTATTATCTCTACGTTTCTACGAACTCGCACTATCGCACTTCATTTCTAAAAGAGCTAAGAATCTGTTTTTCACGAATCTCATTCTCTCTGAAAACACACAAATGCAAATATCCTGGATAAACAGGTAATTGAGTTCTAATAACGAATCGTGTTCCTAACTAGCATAGAAAATAAAAGCTAAAAAATGGAAATAAAGGAGCGCCGTTTCCTCTTAGCCTGGTAGGCTATTCATGTGCCCCGTAGCCCCAGGCGCCCACTGTGTAAGGCATCTTGCTCGCCTCTCAGTTCGCAAAATGCACTGCTCCAGGTCGGGCGATCATCATCGACCATTTGCTACCGGCGGCCGCGCGAAAAACAGGTCGCCTCCCTGGAGTGGCCCGCAGGCGGAAGGGGCAGAGCGGGACGGGGCGCGGAGTCGGGCGGGACGGGGCTGGGCGGGGCCGTG